TGTCGTCGCGACGCCCGGGCCATCGCAGCAGCCCGGCGGCTCTGGCAGGATGTCGATGGCTCGCGTGGCGCGCCCTTCGGGGGGTGCCAAAGTGTCTCGGTGGCTGGTCACGGCGCCACGATTGATCGTAGTACGTCGTCCCTGAACCCGCGAGGAAAAACACGCTCTCCTGGCAAGGTCGCTCAACAAGTTCCGGGGCCGTGTGTGCGGCCGGCGAACCGGCTCGCTCGCGAGATAGCACGTTCAACGGGGAAAAACAACCCCCGTTGACAGTTTCGCGACAGTTCGCACGCGCGACAGTCAAACGCGAAGCGGACGCGTGGCTCGAACGTCGCGTGTACGACTTGTCGGCCGCAGTGGATGTACACTTTGAACGCCGCGCGGATTCTCGTCCTGGTGTTGCCCGCTCGGTGTGGTGAGTGGTGGGTGGTTTCGTGCGGTTCACCCGTTTCGCGGCCGGGCATGGAACCGCGGAGGTTCCGGATCCCGAAGGCTAGCTGACGGATGCCCGCGCGGGAGGGCAGGAGGGACTACGAGCCGCTGGATGAAAGTGAAAACGAGCCGACCCACGATACGGGGGGATGAATCAAGGATACGTTGCGTGGAGAACGTCCGACTGGACGAATTTCGGCTCCTGTAAGTGGATTACCCTTTTTCATGGTGCTTTGCAGAGTTTTCACGGTGTCGAACGGTTGTTCATTCTTTGAGTGCATGCAAAGGGGTGTTTGAGGTATTGTGGAGACTCGGAAGTCTTTACTTCTACGATCCTCGAGCGAATTAAACGGAAGACACGATGGAAGATTGTTATTATACAGTGCTTTTTTAGTGGTCTTTGGAACGGTGTTCCGCTAAATTGTCAAAAGCTGATATGCTCAGGTATTGGATTAAAATTTATTATTCTTGTTTTGTTTGGTCAAATTCACCCTTTGTTGCATTCTGTTACGAGCTACGTAGAATGTTTTGTGAAATTCTTTTACTTTGTCAAACATAAGAGGAGTGAATATTTTATTAGCTGTAAATTTATGGAATATCAAAAATGTTTTCTCTGATGAAGTAGAAATAGTCATGCAACGAAGGGTTCATTCAGTGTATTATAAAAAGAATCTGTTAATACTATTTTATCCTATAATTTATACTAAGCTGTTCAACATCAGATCTAACAACAAAATGTATTATTAAGTTTAGTTAATTGCATACTGGATTTTATACAAATGCAGTTAAAGCGGATTACTTTCAACAGTAATTGATTTTCAATTACCGAGGCAATAACGATTAATTCCAACAAAATTTGTTTCCATGTTGACGAGTTTTTACGCCGATCAGCCCGTTCCAATCTCGTCCTAATTAAATTTACTTGCGGTCGTTATCGTTACCGTGCATTTCCCTTTTTCGATAGCAAACAAAGGTCGCAAAAAAGCGGCGAATCGGTCGCGTGTTATACCCCAACACCTCCGTCAGTGGCACACGTTAGATAAAGCATTGAAATCGACGCAAAAGAGCAATGAATTGCCGGGAAGCATGAACGCGGATATGGATATCTGACATTTCCATCGCACACGGAAAATCGTTGCTAAGGTACGCTGGAAAAATTATAATTACAATGTGGAAGGGTTGCGTGGCTTGCATTATCGAATTTAGGATCTTAAACGTCTCGTGGACAGTGAAATTTTGCTCGTAATACGTGTTACAAAATTTCTTTCGTTAATAAATTCTCTGCAAGACCATTTTTTGAGATATTTTAAATTGTACAGGTTCTTGCACAAGTCATTTTCTTTTTTAAAAGTTATGCAGCGTTATCAGTTCCGAATTTTTGTCGGTCCTAAATTTCTTAGGGGATATATTTGACAAAATGAATGAATTTTAACATAATTCTTTGGAAATTTAAGTATTGAAACTTATGACACCCTCTAAAAAGTCAACGGTGATGTCGAAGTAATAGAATTCTATAATTTAAGGAAGTGCAGTTATTCGAAAAGCGGTTGATCAAAATGTTTCGGATTGTACCCAACGGGACAAAAAATACGTCTTACCCCACGGCTTATCTCTTCTATTCCCCGTAGTAATACCGTAACGTGCACGGGGAGCCGTTTTATGGAGAATTATTCGATGCCACGTACGCGAGCCATAAAACGTTCGACGAACGAGAGGGTCCGACACAGAATGGCGTTCTGAGCGATCCAAAACAGGAAGAATGTTCATTGACGTTCGGCTTTCGAGATCCTGATGCAACGTCTTATTGACGCGCGATTGCTTACATAACGACAAATATCCTTCGTAGACACCGCTATCCTTTTAAACCCCTTTAAATTTAAAAGTAATAAAGAATATTCACTAAATAGATTGACTTAGATTATACACACCGACAATCATCTCACATCACAATTCCTTAATAATTTCTAATGCGATGGGTTTACGAATAATATATACCAAAAATTAGCTTGAAATTTTTGAAGGAAAGACGAGGTAAAAGGTTGGAATTTTTTCAACAATCCATTATTCAAGGGTTAATTTTCTTCCCCAGTAATCTCTTGAACGTCAGTAACTAAAAACGGAAGGAAGCAGAATTTCAAAGACCGTATCGAGCAAAGTTCTGCCAGCTAAAACAAAGATCCGCGTTACCTCACAATGCAAATTCGCTGGGAGGCAGACTATCTTGTTACCGCGTCAACGAGAAACGTCGCGTTAAGCTCTGCTAAGACTTGGAAACAACGGGACTGAGCCGTTAAGTATGCGCGCGAGTTTCGTCGCAACGACTACTTCGTCTCGGCAATTTCTCGATCGTGCCAACATTAATTAAGTCACGGTAAAGAAGCTCGTTCACGCGAACGAGATTTTTTCCCGCGAGTTCGATCCCATCGGGGGTGAGTCGCGAGGCCGTCTCCTAGTTTTAATTAAAGTCACCCCGAGTCGGAGTCGCAGCTAAGGCAATTAACTCGAAGACAAACGACCAGGAACGATTGAATTTCCTAGCTTTCGTAATTAGTTTCTGCGTAACCGAATTCAACCCTTCGCAGCCTATCGTGACTGAAAACGAACATCGATGAGTCTTTTAAAAATCTTGGAAATAGTGCAGATTAAATTAATGGAATCGTGGATTAAACTGGATATTTTCTGCTATTGAATACCGCGTTTGATAACCTTGCTGAAATAATTAAAATTGGTTATTGAATTTTTCACCCTCGCGCCAATTAGTTCATTTCACTCTTGCTCAAAAAGTCCCTCAAGCGCGTTTGCTTATAGAAAATTAATCCTCAGCCCTTCGATTAATGCCGGGTTTTTAATTGCGATTAAATTGCGAGGCGATAGTGCTTAAACCGATCGAGAGGGGTAAGCCGTTAAGACGAGAGGTAACGGGGAGCGTTTACGCGTTATTGGAATTCTTTTGAGCAACGAAAAAATATCGGAAGCAGCGAGTTAGCACGGTAGTTGACATTCCACGTGCGCTCGAAAAGCAACGCGAGGGTTTTCATCAGCGACGCATCCGTTTCCTTGTCGTCGAATCCTCCCTGTTTCGGGTGAAAGTAGCACCGCCGATAGGGGTGAAATTTTAATTCGCACGGACGTTTGATATTCAGAGATCCGGACTCTGCATTCACAGGCTCACGTACGACCACTCTCGACGGCACTTCTTTCACCGAGGCATTTTTGTTTCGCGTCAACGACGACCAAGAAACTCTTGTTCTTTCCGCGAGAGAGAAAGAGAAAGGGTAAGGAAGAAAGATAAACAGAGAAACGCGAAAAGAGGGAAGGATGATAGAACGAGACGACGATCTGTCATTCAAGGACGATTCTTTCAGCCTGCAAACTCACTGGATTGTGTGTGCAGGGCCACCCTCTTTAGAATTCCCCGTCGGTGGAGCAAGAAGCTCGTAAAAGACAAAGGGGGTTGGGTAGCACAGGGGTGGAGAAGGCGAAGCGCAAGGGAGACACCAGCGAAGGAAGGGACGAAGAGAAGCGAGTAAAGGAGATAAGAAAGATGGGAGAAAGCTCACCGGATCTCAGCCTCCGGCTTCGCCGAGGCAGCTCAGACTCCAGGGATTCGTTCTACATGGACTTTGCTCAGGTAACCCCCTTCATCCCTCGATGCATCGATAATCTTTCCCAGATAATTTCCGTCGTGCCATCGTACAAAAAGTTATCTTAGGTCGTAACCTGGCGAATGGACCATTTCGAGCTTGAACGATTCAGTTAATGCATCCTGAAGTGGCACTTGTGACATACCTAAAGTATACTCTACAAACCGTCAATGTTCCCTACATCAAAATCCTAAGCGATTAATTAAAAATTGATATTTTTACTTCGCATGTTTCCCGTTAATTTAAGCGAAAGGTATCACGTAAAAATCTGTAATTATACTTGCTAATGAACTGCCTCAGCCTTTGATGTTTTTAAAACCTGCTACCACGAACTACGTTCGCTTTAATTTATAAATGAAAGAGCTGACGAGTGCTTTGAAAAAGGAATTTACGATCGACAGGGCATCGACTCGGATATCGAGGAGGTGACGCGTCCGGGAGACAACAACTCGGATCCGATGATGGAAAACCACCTGGAGGAGAATGGAACCGAGCTACCACCGATCGAGGATATTACGACGATCCCGGAGGAAGCTTCCGAGGAGTTGCGCGAAGAGGAGGAGGCTGCGGCTATGGAAGCTGCCCTACGAACACCCGAGGGCCCCATAATTAACACGGAAGCAGAGAAACCGGCGCAGCAACCCCAGCCCCAGCTCTCCACGCTCGCTCCGCAAGAGTGAGTATGCAGAAATCCTGCGGAACGAAATTGCTGCTACCGTTCCGTACGAGCGTTGTTACGGGGGCAATTTAATTCGAACGAGGAAGGTCTCCGTTTTAATTGGAATTCCTCGTTTCTTCGTTTCTTTTTCGATTTTTCTGGCTTACGTCCCCTGCCGACAATTTTGACTATCTACGTACGAACATTTCGGGCGCCTATCATTAAATGTGGAGAGTTCAATGATGAGATGGAGGTGTATATGTAGATATAATTTGACGAGGGGGATGTTGGAGATTAAGGGCGAGTTTAATACATGTAAATGCTTTTTGATGACTTGAATAGGGTTCAGGTATATCTTCTGTTGAATACAGAGGAAAAGTTAGAATTGTGAGAATCATAGACCACGCGAAGTATGCAGTAATCAAACTGTAAAATCAATACTCAAAGTAAGAGTATACTTAGCTTAACTGTGCATTGAGCGTTCTAATTCGAACTTATACAGACCTAAATGATAAAACCTAGATGATAACCCAATAATTTCGATCTTGAGGCTTGAAATTAATTTTTAGAGCTTCTAGTCTTTACTCCGATCTATAAAGAGTCAAAGATTCCTCCAACTAACCACCTCTGCATACAGTTCCTTTTAAGCAGTAAATGACGAGCCAGCAGTAGGTACATTCACGTAACATTGAGACGGAAGGAAAACAATGTTGAAACGAGCGATGAAAGCGTCTCGACTCGAAAGATGGTTGCGAAGAAACCGTAAAGAATGATCCAGCAACGGTTGACGTTGCTCTCGACATTAACCCAGCCAGCCCCTGTGTTTCTTTGCCGGTAATATTCCCAACCATTAACGACTTCTCGTACGTCTCGTTCAGACGAGATCTCTTCAGATTGCGCGCTAGACTCGGAAAAGAGAGGAAACTGTCTGCTAGTTAACTGGGTGAACAAAATGAGCGCGATATACGGGAATAAAAGATGGCGGAGGGAAAATGGATTTCTAGTGTGTCTGAAGGCAAGGTGTCGAGTAATTGCTCGTCGAGCACCGCACGACAACCGATGGAAGTATTAACGTGATGACGACGCGACTATCGCGTGGCCGGAAGTGCGAATTATGTCTTCGACGGCTTGGTTGCGAGGGAAACGAGCTATTTCTTGAATGATTTCTAATCATTTCCGCTTCGAATCGTATCCCATTTTGTTATAATATCCGTGCTGTGGATCTAACGAGCGTTTAGAGACAAATCTTGTGATCAAAATTTTAAGCTACATATTCAAACTCTATCGCAATTCTTCGTTTATAGGAAAATTTTCAATAAATCTTATATCTTCTATAAAACATACACTTTAAAGAACATTGCGAAAAGTAATTGTGATGTAAAAGAACATTGCGAACAGTCCTGAAAATTAATTTGAGCAGAAATGTAGCTCTAAACTCGGATGTATTAGGTAATTCCGCGTAATTCGCACACTTTGTCACAATATTAGTGAAACCTGCGTTAAACATTCAATTAATTAATCGCGGACATTTTCGACGCTTTAAAGTAGCAGTACTCGCAGATTCTCGTCAATTATATCATGCTTTGTAGCTAGAACGTAACGCCACGACGTAAATTACTCGTCGGACCCCTAAACAGACACGTTTCTCCTCGTCTCTTCGTTGGAACGACCACCAGCCACGAAACATTACTCACTGTCTACGATTAACGCATCCCTCTGTTCCCGTGTGTCCAGTGTGGTGGTTTGTGCACCGTGCAACGATTGAACTTGATCGTGAAAAATCGTTTCGCAAACGTCTGCCACTTTGCTCCATCAATTTCCGCTCGAGGGCCATGGTAGGCTAGAAATCACTGCCGCGTTCTCGGAAAAAAGTAACCGGCCACATTTGGACCAGACAAAAGTCGTTCACGAATCGTCGACGGCTCTCGAAAAGGGGCGAGCTTTTCATCAAAGCGAAACACTGACCCCAATCTGCGAAATTGCTGCTTCTACCGGGTCTAATCTGCGAGTCAGCAAGAAACGACGCGTCAAAGGCGTATCGTTCGCGAAACGCTCCTATTCGTCAGAAACGCCTTTGTCACTCGTGTGTGCATGTAGCGGCTCCCTCACATGTCATGGACAGAGTTGAGGATCTTCATATCGATTGACTGAAGATTTGCTTGGGAATTTGCGGGATCGGAAGTTGGAGAGTTAGGAATTTGGGGATTGAAAATTTAAGGATGTAGGAATTTAAACAATTTTGGGATTTAATTTGGGAATTTGAGAGTTTAAGGATGTAGGGATTTAGGAATCTGTGAATCTGAAAATTAAGGAATTTGATAATTTTGGGTCGGGACATCAAGAACCACCACATGTGGTATTGTCACCAGTTACATTGTTGTACCGCATATCACATCATATTATATTACATATACCATCAGCTAAAATTCAATCAGTATAATATTAAAATACCATTTTCCTTTGAATGTGACTCTGAGAAAATCTGGAAGGTGAAACTCGATCGCGTGACAACAAATCAATTCCCAATATGCATCCAATCGCTCTAATTGTTCGAAACGCGTGAAACACGCGTGGGACCAGTTATTTCCCAGTTTAACGACGCGACGAATCGACCGGCAATTTCCATGGATCTAACGGGCCGATCCGCAGACAGTCCGTCGCCTCGATTCCAGTTGAACTCGATTACTTCCGGCGGATATCGAACGTGAATTCGTGAACGCACGGCTGGCCAACGGCGCCGAAGTTAATATTGACCTGTCACTTCGTTATGGCCAACGGACGACCTTCGTGCCGCTTCCGATCGTAACTTCTCCTCGTCTCTTTCTCTCCCGCTTTCCCGTTTCACCGGAACCCCCGTGAACCCGTCCTCTTCTTCGTCCCGGACGAGAGCAGGGAGACTATTCTGGCCTATTCCGTCGATTTACATGCAGATTCGATCAGCGTGCACGCGCACTACGAGCGTTTAAAGCCACTAGATTCGTCGTCTTTCTTTTTTTCGCCTCTTTCAAGGTGACACGATACAGTTCCTTCGATCCTGAGGGGAAGACACCGGAGATGGGGAGAGTGGAAAAGTTTGCAGTGCACTCGATGCCTCGAGTGACGCTGGAAGTTTTGAGAACCACAGGCAAATATCTCGATTTCGCTTGCTCGGAGTTCGAGTATTTGAGTATCGGGCTTTGACAATTATAGTTTACTGGTTTTCAGAATTGGACGTATTTCGATTGTCACGAGATGAAGCCTCACTCCACAAACGCAACTGCGATTGGTTTATGTGAAATGTATATTTTCAGATTCGGTCAAATTAAAAAATTAGAGGAGTAGACTTGTTTCGTTAAATACATAGAGGTCATCTTACTGTGAACATACAAGACTTGAATTTTAAATGCAAAACTTTCAAACCACATTTGCACAAATATGAAATAATATCATCATGAAAGACTAGTACATAAGATTGCAAAAACTTTCATAAAAATCTGAAGAAAATTCAATAGCGGTTGCCAAAAGTTTTAGCGACCTCTGCTCCTCATGCAGCAAATCCAAAGTTGTGAAAGCTCCTTGCAAACTTTATTCCTTGTTCGAATTCCACCCAGTTTAAAAGTGGGACGTTTGCGGAGTATTCTGGCGGTGTCGTAAATCGAGCGGCTGGTATCGGAAACGACCCAGGCCAGGATATGAAAGCTGGGGTCGAGAAGTCGGGTCGTAAAACCTTCCGCGAGCATTACGCCACTGCGAATCTGATTCGGATAACGAGCTCGCTATCAAACAGCCCGACCACATGTTCAGAGACGTGTGGGACGGGAGGAGGGTGGTGAACGGAGAAGGAGCGTGATAAACGACGAGAGCTGCGTTGAATCGCGAGACAGCAGGGCCTCAGTTTGTGATGCGGGGTCCGTGAGTACCGTGACACACGAGCCATTGGGCCGTGACTGTGCGTTTCGTTGGTGAATTCAGCTGCCAACATTCCGCCGAGACGGCCGAGGAAACCTCTCTAGCCAAGGTCACGGGTATGCTCATCAAGGAGACCTCCCTCAGGTACTACGATTCCATCCTGTCGAGACCGTGCATCGATCCGCGCGCTCCTCGCTCCAGACGAATGGCCGGGAATCCGAAAATCGCCCACCCACACTCGCGCGATCGTCTACGATTTGCGGCACGACGTCCTCCTGTGCCTCGCGTGCTTTTGCAAATAGGATTTCGATCGAAAATTCACGCTGGTACGGCCGATCGAAATAGAGTAGAATTCTTCACTGAGCACTCGGATGTTTCCTGAAAGGTAGGGGTAAGGTTTCATGACTTTTTTTCGAGAAACGCAAGAATCTTAAAATTAACTCGAAGTAGATCTCGAAGTTCCAGTCGTAAACATGATTGTAGTCCTAGCTTCGCCTTCATAGCCAGAGATTTCAAACTTCTGGTGATCCTAGACTTGATTCAAGATCTTCGTCTTAAAGTTCTAAATTAAAAAATTGTAAATCTGGTGACCTTGTGATTCTCTAGACCTTGAAGTAATATACGTCAAAGTTCTCCTCATCGACTTCAATCTCCTAAATCTGATGTTCCCGCTGACTTCGGATGCAGCTACGAATGCAATCTTTTCGAGATTAAATATAATCCGAAGTTTTCATTAACTCGTGATGATAGCCGTTCACCCAGGATTATAAGTCTGAAAAAATGGACGAAGGTATTCTCCCTATCGAACCGGGCCACGCTCGCGTTTCTCCCCCCGGCGAAACGTCAAAAGCATAATCCCCAGAGGTGGCTGAGGTACACGGGGAGTCTGCCGTAATCGTGGAAACGCGCTTCAGTTGAAAAACGGGAGAAAAAAACGTTTACCGAGTATTTAGGTAGGTCCGCAGAAGGAAAGATTAAAAGGATAGAAGGGTCTAAACACGGTAAGAAGAGAAGGAAGACGCACTAGAATCCTGAGAAATATCCGTGGAAGGGTGACGGAGTGGAGGTACCGAAACAAGGGATGCAAGGCCCAGAGTCCTCGAGCCACGGATACACTCGTGGCACAATGAGGGAACGGTACTCAGCCACTGAATCAACCCCTCAATCCCTGTTGCACCCCTCCACTATCTCTCTCATCCGGCAACACCCTCTCGCGTTCTTCTGCTTCTCCAACACTACGTGATTATTTCAAAAAGCTCGAAGCCAAGAGGCGAGCCGTACGTTTCATCCTCTGCCACCCCCTGACAGCCGACTCTACACCGTTTCTTCTCTTTTCAACACGGATAGGCGCACACGCGTCGAACTAACCCTTCTATCTACGGTGAAAAGGACGAAACTTATCCGTGTCCCTTCTCGCTCGCGTGCTATCGGCCTCGTAGGGGTAGGTCGTTTTACGCAGCGACTCGTTTACCTTCTTAAACGCGCGGAACAACGATCTCCCGGGTTCACATATATTTAGAGGGGTTAGAACGAAAGGCTTCGTGGATGGATGCTTTCCCAACGAGGGTTCACTACGAACATATGTTTATTTTAACGTAATATAAACGAAAATGTGGAACGACGATTCGCGGAATATTAGATAACGTTTACGCGGGTATCGTGCGATGTCACGTGGGGGAGTCTTGTCTTCGGGGATGGGGATGTAAAGGACGTGTTTGTTCTGTCGAGGTAGAATTATTTTGGCTAATAATAGCTGTTATATCGTGCTTTCACATTTTATGTTTGAAACAACTTGAAGGTGTTTGATACTCAAGGAGGGAAAAATAATTCTGATATAACATATTTATTTTCCTGAATTTTTATTACATCTATTTTAAACGTCCGCAATTTCCTTCAAATTTCTCTTAAAATTGTGTAGAAAATGTAATCGTAGGGAGGAATGTCCTCGGGTTCGAAGAATTCGTAGAATATGAAAATATGCAGACTCCTCTCCAGCACTCTTACCGTGGTAAATTGAAATTTCGCCTCGATACGTCGGGGCGCAATATAACGGCGGGGAAATAATTTACGTTCCTCATGGTGTTCCGCGTGGATAAATTGTCGCCGCGAATTCCATGGTAACGCGACACACGCTCCTGAGGATTCACCCGCGTTGGATCAGGGTAAATCTGTAAAAACGCCACGTGTACTCGTATGCGAACGTGAAATCAACCCGACCGTATTTCGTCGGCTGTCAGATTACAGAGGGATTATTATTAGATAAACGGCTGTCGTTCGAGAAGTCGTCGCTTAATGACGCCCACGAAACCATTCGCTCGCTATAGTAACTCTCTTCCTGCAGCCAGTGTCAATGCGACGCGTATGAAACGTTATGGCACCGCGTTGACCTTAAATTAGATGCGCGACACCGCTTCGTGCTCCCCTTACAATTCCCCGAAACCTCCCAGCGTTTTCAATACATTAACCACCGTGACATGGAACGTTCTGCTTCGATACACCATTTTTATCGTTTTTATACATTATTTTTTAAATTGATAGGATCGAGCTAGATCATTTTTTTTATTTGAGGCATTTATTTTCTTGACGATGTAAATTCGTCGGTGATCGATAGATGCTGCTTATGGACAATTTCATCTTTTTCAGTATCAAAAGAATTTGTTGAGATTTTCAAAACATCTGAGATTTGAATGTATCAAGATTGCAATCAAAGTAGATATTTTAAAATTTCAATGACATATTAGACGTCTATAATTTTTCATTCCTTGCACCCTCCGTCCGCGTCCTAAGCCGATCACCCCGCAGAACAAAGCGTGCATTTTTGTCCGAAGTCCCCAATTTCCGCTTCTAATTTTCAGGGATTAATTGCTCGGCGTTAAATAAAAAAAGATCGTAGTTTCGTTAAGGGAATCACGCAACGAAAAGAGGTCGGAAAATATATTTTTTTTCCACCCTCCCGACACGCTTAATTACTTCTTCTCGCCCGCTATAGACTGCCTTTGAGACCCCCTAACGATTCTCGGTGTGCCACCACGTGGAGAGGCTCGAGTGGAAATTTTCGAGTAGAAACCACCGACGCGTCGCATCTCGAGAAAGTTTTCCCGGCCATTTGTTGCCGCAGTTTAACGAGTTGCGATTGGCGCCGCTCGTCGACCGACGACAGCCAGTTTCGCGGCTTCAAACTTACTCGGTAAACGACTTTCGCGTACAACGGCGAGCAGCCAACTCGCTTAAACGAATTACCAGAAACTACTCGTGGTGACGCTAAGTCGCTCGAACGCGACCAGACGAATTCCTTCCACGGCGTAAATTCGCGTTCGTGGAGGGGAGAAAGCTCCAGAATTGGGACAAGGGGTACAATTATGAGAATTAACCCTTTCGTAGTAGCATGCTTCAATTGAAAGCCACCGGCACAGACGATGTCAAGGTAACTATCTTGACGTATATATACGACTATTGCTCCAGTAGTACTACGTTGGATGAATGAACAATTTGTGCTATTGCATAACTTGTCTTATATGTTGTCGAGCATTGGTAGCCTTTCCAGATGTGTTTATACCAGGAGTTATTTCACGATAACATACTCATGACGTATAGGTAGACACATTTCTATATGTAGGTGCAGAGGTACATTTCGGGAAGGTGTCGAAAATGAGTACTTTTTCTTCGAAGTATACGTTGTGTTCACTCTTGTACGATGTACGTATATTCCACGTATGAACATATGTGTTGATCGTATATTCAACGTATGACTCTCCATAACATATGTGTTGATGTTGTGAATGAGATGAGAGTAGTGTAACAAGTCGATTATTAAATTACATGAATATCCAAGTTAGAAGCAGTATGCAATCATGAAACATTAGGCTATCTATAGTGAAAGAGGTGGACAAACTCCATGCTGTTCAAGCTGTACCAATTTTGACTAGAAACCTTGCAATCACGAAATATTAAGATTTCAGTCACCTTACGTAGTAGAAAGATTAAAGACATGCAAAGAACGAAGTGAATTATTGTCAACTTCACATTTCGCGAAAAGATAAGGAACAAGTATACAATCAAACAGTAGGATACATATGTTATCATGATTAAGGAATTGCAAGCTTGCAGACAACTTTCGTAATGCCCACACAGTATCAATTGTGATCAAAAGTAGAACCATACAATCACGAAGCATTAAGGGTTGTAGGAAAGTTTGAGATATGCAAAAATGTACGAAGTGAATTGTGGTCAGTTTTTAGTGAAAGATTGAAAGTATGCAATCGAAGAAGTTTTGTATACGCGTAATTGTGGAGCTACAAGCTTGCAAACTGACGAATTGCGTAATGACCAAATTACGTCAATTTTTAGTGCAAAATAAGTACAATGCAATTGTAAATTAAGGTATACCAGAAAGAAAATGTGGGACTATGGTTAATTGTGACCAAAAGTTGAGATAAAAATGTGCAATCAAAATGTCGTGCAATGTCGTATGCGCCCTATTAAAGTTGAAGAAAGATAAGAGGTAAACATCGAACGAAACGAATCGAGTTATGCAAAGTTCTCCCTCCGAGTACATATCAGGGTAGAAGCAAGGTAAACGTTAAACTCGTGAAGCTAATGAGAGCAACGGAAAGAATGAATTGTTTTATTAACGTAACTCGGGTAGCCGGAGCAGCGTAGCGCGTAATTATCCCAGTAATTGAGCCGTCGATACCGATGAATCGATCGGCCAAGGACAGGATAGAAATAATGAGGAAACACGGTCTGTTCAGCTGGCCAGGATTGCCGGCTGCTCTACCGTCACCGGCATCACCGTCCGCGGTAATCGTTTCACCGGAAACGCTGTCTAGACACAGCAGCAGCTCACCCTCCCGCGCTCACCGGCCACCCCAGTTTGCCCTGGCTCTACCATGCTCCTCGCAACCGATTTCCGCGGTATGCTACCCGGCACCCACCTTCCTAGACGTCGTCGAGGATCGGAAGTGGAAGAAACTTGGATGGTAAGTCTTCATGCCCCAATTTTATACTCTACATCATTAACCCCTTATCTTATCTTCATCTTATGTCGTTTGTGGCTCGACATCACATTTCTGTTGGATCGTTTTTATGGTTACACAGTAATGTTAAATAAATTTGACTTGCAATTAATTCAACGTGCGACGTCGATCGATAGCAATCAACGTGCTAATTTATTTAATTTAATTAAATTCGTAATCGGGACGTGTAACAGCTCGAGTCCGGTAATTAAATTATAAAATGTATGATGTTATCAGATATATTGAGGAGGGTTGGACGAGATATTACCCCGGTTTTCCACCTATGCATCTATATTTACATACATTTAGAATAATTCACGATGAATTTCACAATAAATTCGATTTTATAATAAAGGTAATGAATATGCACCTTTTGTATATCGGTAAATAAGCACTGAATTCTATGTAATTAAGGCAATGAGAGGCTAAAAGAATCGTATTAATTAGACCAATTAAAAATTGAAGTATTGAAAATCGATCGATATTGGCATGGCCAGGAAAACCTCGGTACATTCGAATCGGGTCAAATTCAGAACGTTTAACCATCGCGTTTGCACGTGATCAACTGAAACATTTCATCTTGAATGATTTCCACTCCAAGCAAATTAACAGAAACGTAGAGGGGGAAAATGTGTCCCGGTCACCACGGAAATTTCACGTGATCCTCCGGGTTATCCTGATCGACGTCTGCACACCAATTACCGGTACTTTATGAATCAAACACGAGCATGGTCGACTACACGATTACCAGTAATTGAGCCAATTCTTACGGGGGTGGATGTATTTGCGGCCAATGGTATCACTCATGCTTCGTTCTGGGACCGCAATATTCCCTATTCGTTTACGATTTAATAGTCAATCGTCGATTTAAATGGACTAATACTCAAATCTATACGTTTCTAAATTATTGTGAGAATTTCCGAATTTTTACATTTTTAATTTGTACGTTCTATTATTAGGTTTTCAGAGGTTGAAAATTTTTATGTCTTGAGAGTTCAGAGAAAAAAAGAGGGTGGAAGTTGAGTTCTCGAACTTCTAAAATTTCGAATACCGTGTATGCAAATTTCTATGCCTTAAATTTTCAGGTCTTCGAACTCCCAGATCCCTAAATTTACATATGTGCAAATTTTCAGCTCCTCAAATTCTCAGATCCCTAAATTCACATGTGTGTAAAATTTTAGCTGCTCAAATTCTCAGATCCCTAAATTCACATATGTGCAAATTTTCAGCTGCTCAAATTCTCAGATCCCTAAATTCACATATGTGCAAGTTCTCAGTTCCCCAAATTTCTACATTTCTAAAATCCTACATCTTCAAATTCCTGCATCCCCACATTCTCGGATCCCCAGATTCCCTCTAGTTTCCTATATGCCCAAATTCTCATACTCCAAACTCCCACAAACAACTAAATTCCCAACCTCCGACTTGAAATATTCGAGAACTGGTAATCGTCTGAAGTTAAAAGAACGTTATTGGAATATTTGGTAAAGGAAATAGTTCAATTTCCCTATCCACAAGAAAATCGAAATGGTTCGCGCTTTTGCGTAGCAATCGTCTTCGTCGAATGACAATTTCCGTTTGTTGCACAGCGACGCCCTGGCGACGACGTTTAGCGCCCTGTACGGAAAGCTACTGGTCGTCATGGGGATCGCCTTTCCCATGGCTGAAGTGATATCCACCTACATACCGCCGTCGTTCTACGAAGGGTTCTACCTTTATCTCTACTTCGGCAGCATGATCTTCCTCGTCTACACGTACACCACGTTGCTTCGCGACAGTAAACCGAAGTCAAGTAAGTTTATAGCGCATGATCGCGGCCAATGATTTTTTTCTCTTGCCGTTATCCGTTGTTCGGCCAACAGGCTGTAGAGAGACAAGATGAAACTTTCAACTTCACATTTCAGGATCGTCTGCCGCGTGTTGTTTTCCGAGTAGGTATTTTCTGCACAAAACTGAATGCTTGTACTAACGCGGAGCTTCGCTATCGATACTTAATTCTTTCATGAACAATTGATCATTCATGCGATGGATTGACTAACCCTTTAACGACGTTGCTAAATAATTAACGCTTCGGGAATTTACAAATATCTCTGAAATCCAACTGCGAATAGGTGTGGATCTGCACTTGTTACACCGTGAACGTTAATGCATTAATCCGCTAGATAGCCTTCCATTCAAATGGACCCTGAATGCACTCCATAGCTCTCCATCGATCCATCTTTCTAGGATAAAAATTCGAGCGTTTCGTTAAAGGGTTAAATATCACGCTGTCAGCTGTACTCGCGATGTACACGCGCGAAATTCAGCATCCTCCGCTTGCGCGCTCGCTCGCTTTCAATTCGCTTCCGACAACGGGAAGCGAGCTCGACCCTGTTAAAATCGCATTAATCATAACCGGCTGATTACCATAAATTTGCATGAGAAGAGAAACGAAAGGACGTGTGCGACCTGGACTCGTCGAGATCGTCGAGCGGCGCCGGAGGTGACAGCGACGCAGCTGACACCGCGTGTCCGCACGTGGCCACTGTCAGACCGGCGCAACATTATGGCAGTTTCTATCTACGAATGGGCGCCGTGGCCTTTGGCATCGGTTCCATGATTTATTCCGGCTTGGAGTTTGGCCAATATTTTGAGCTGGAACAGAACACCAAGTGTCACAACATCATGCTTGCCCTCACACCTGCCACTAGGATGGCATTCATCTTCATACAGATGTACTTTATATTTCTGAACAACGAGGTGGGTATGTTTGTGGAGCAAATACAGTCGTTACTTCCTTCTTTATACGTGGGGATATTGTTGGACGCTTAGGTAATAGAAGGGGTAAGTAGAGACTGGGGTAATGTTCTCTGTGTCAATGGATGCAAGGCATCTTATTTATGGATTTGTGAATTATCTCAGATTTCTAATTTAAAAATTTCCAAATTCATGAATGTATATATTTTCAACCATTCATGTCCAACGTCAAGACTTAAAAAAAGAACGTCGAGACTCAAAAAAGAATTGTTAATAAAAATGCCTACAAAGGTCCAAAATTACACCATGTAGTAAAGATCGCAGTAAATGCAAGAACAAAAGAACCGCAGCTTTCTGTAAAGGTTGCGTGAAAAAAACGATTGGTTACCGCGAGAGTAGATCGTTATTTACTAGGTGAAGAGGCTAAAAATAACTACAAGAGCGATGCTGTGGAGATCAATGCGAGCGATGTAACGAAAGAGCGAAAGCGTCGATGCAAAACGAGACGCTTAACGGAAAGGTTAATGAAACGGAAGGGTGAACAACCCTGAAACTAATACTGGAACACGAGTCGTCCAGGTACCTACGTGTCCCTTTGCTCTTTCCTTTGCCTCGACAGATGAGTATCTCTCACCGCGCTCGACCGCTTTTGATTAAAACTTTTTCGAGAGCCGCCTCTCGATCGACGATTCCGATCGTTTACCTCTTTATCGTCTAATAACCCGCCGTTCTATGGCTCGCGATCTAACTAGACAATCAAATTATTCTCGTCGGAGAATGATCGATCGCTGCGATTCTTTTGTTCGACGTCCAAGAACGCTATCGTCTCGCGTAAACGAGACCTCTTCGCTCTGTCTCGCGGAGAGCCGATAACTATTGTCTCAGCGTTTGTTCTTTTCAACAGCAAATGAAAGTTTACCGTCATCGGGTGGTCGCGCGATTTGGATTGATGCACATGATCGGCACGAATCTGTCCGTCTGGCTGAACGTCCTCATTCAGGAGACCAAGCACGAGATACTGACGTTCTACAACCCGGAGAACAATTCCCTGAGGATTTCACACAGATTAGGTACGCGCTATAAAATACCCGTCGTATCGTAACGAACGACTGCATGGAGTAAATTAGATTTAAGGAACGGAGATTAAGAGTGAAATGAATTTAGGTATGAAAGGGAATCTCAATCTCGGAGGACACAGTCATTACCATCACGGAGAGCATCTGAGGCTTCCAAGAGGTCTGAAGGGACCGCATCACATGTACGAATGTCGACGAACGAACATAATGGGATCGTTAGTCCAAGATGCTAGTCCGTTTCTATTTCCCTGCACCATAGAGTATAGTTTGATCTGTGCCGCGATTTTGTACGTGATGTGGAAGAACATATCGAAGGCTGCGTTCTCGCAGCCTAAAACGCCACCGGGATCCAGGCATCACACGCATGCTTACAGGTAAAGTTATATCCATTTAAAGTGAGCTCGTAATCCAGTATTCTGTTACCTTAATTTGTGTAAATGTTACCGACATTTAATCAATTAAATCCCACAGGAGGTCGCCTCATCACTACAGCGTGGACTGCGCGCGGGCCCACAAGGGTCTGTTCGTGGGTATCCTGATCCTGGTGCTAACGATCATCTCGCTGATCTTGTTCTTCGTGCTGATATCGCGTCCAGAGTTGGTCAGCTTCGCGGTCACCGAGGTGAACATCTGCGAGCTGACTCTGTACGGGATGTCGACGATAGCCACGCTGATAGGGATGTTCCAGATGCGCAAGCTCCGTTACGACGGCAACAGGAACCTGGAACTGGACAATATCCTGTTAGTAGCCGCGCAAACGGGCATGTTCATCTACTCGACGTTCACGATCATCGGTGCACAGTTCACGCTAGCCAAGCATACTCTTCTGGTGCTGGTCACGGCGCTGGCGAGCGTGGTGCAGACCACATTTCAGACCATCTTCATCCTGGACGCGTCGAGGCGATCCGTCGCGACCGCGAAGCAAATCAGGAGAAAACCCGGCAGAGAGATCGTGACGTTTCTGCTGGTGACGAATCTGGCGATGTGGGCGATCAACACTCTGGAGAAGTCGCGGGCGGAATCGCATCCTGTGCAGCTGCACTTCTACGGACTTTGGGCGTGGACGATCATCACGCACGTCTCGATGCCGTTGGCGATCTTCTATAGGTTCCACAGCACCGTTTGCCTCTGCGAGGTCTGGAAAAGAGCCTACAAGGTGAAACCTACCTACATGTGACGCAAGGGGTCCCGTGAGCTCGTGTGCAACACCGTGGCTCCTCAACGGCCGAAAACCCTGCCCGCCAGGTTGGACGCCATCGCGGAGAACGATCCAGTTTACTTCATGTAATCGTGGAGGACTCGCGAATGGGGGGTTAGTCGGACCCTTGGCGTAGCTGGGCGATGATCGAGGCGGGCCTACACGAAATATGAATACTCCTCATGAAATATGACGGTCGTGGAATGAGATATCTCGTATTAGGATTTTAGAAGTTTGAGAAATCACAAGTTTTCAAATATTTACATTTCTAGATTTAGAGGAGCCTAAATTTGCAACCCCAAAATTTTCCAGCCCGTAATTTTTAAATGGCCAAATTCTCAGCCACTTGGTCCATACCGAATATAAAAATTATTAGAGAAGCTAGGAGTTGGCCCATGACAGATAAAAGTCCTAGTTACGCTAACGAGTCCGCACCCCCGTAGCCCGAGAATGTCCTAACTGTTATAGATTAAATATCCCGCGTGAACGGGTCGTTTTTGTTTTCGTTCGTCGAGAAACGGTCACGGTTATATAATCGTAAGCATAAATCGGATCAACCTCGCGTTAAATGGATCCTGATACGAGCCTGTGTACATAGTTCGTCCGCGACGAGATACAGGAACGGACTGCGATAAAAAGATTCTCTCGGAGAATTCGATGAACGATTCGAAAAGAAAACGGTTAGACGAAGGCACAATTAACGACGCACAATTTTTAACGAGATTAGATGTAGACGAATTTATTTCGGCTTAGAATCGTCGAAGCAACGGCTGTTCTTTCGATTATGTCGGGAACAATGTTTTGTTCGATACGTAAACGATAAGACGATTTTATACCGACGAGAAAAATTGTGAATGAGAGAGAGCGTGAGAGGTGTTTTTGTTTTTCTTTGGTAACGTTCGTAAGACTGAAATTTAAAAAACCTTAGGAGAACGATAGGAGAAGAACGATTCCGTTTCTGGCGCAAGTCGACCTGAATCCGCGTTAACCCGACACCCACCATCCTCTTCCCACTGATCGATCTGTCCTTCGATGTTACTCGAATACTCTCACGGACATCCGTCTTCCACGTAGTACAAACTGCAACTTAAAATAGCGTCTCTCGCGTCCAAGTAGATAATTCGAAGAATCAACGATCGAGGGAAACAGATTATCGCACGAAATTCTTAGGTGTCGACCGACGTGACTCGAGTTTAGATTGTTACGTAGATGTTCTCGTTAAAATCTCGCTTATCCGAGCACTATCGATCGTACCAGCGATAGAAACGATAGACGATAGATAGATCGACGATAGTTCGAAAGCAACACGAGCAACTTGCGCTTTTGAACAAGATGCACCGTACGAAAGTCCAAACGTCCATCGAACCGGTAGTCGTAGAGTGTGGTCTGTTTCTCTCGATTCTATGTAGCAACGTCTCGCGATGGATCGATGTTTCGAGGCAATACGCGTTGGTGTAACTAGGTTGGGACCAGGGTGGGCCCCAAAATTTCATTCTCTCTATTATAACGCGAGAGATGTAGGACGTAAGATACCTCGTATATCTCGTATTAGAAGTTTCGAAGTTTTCAAAGTTACAAATTTTGAAATGATCGAAGTCTCGTATTCAGTAACTGTTAAATTTTCAAGCTTTTCGATAATGCCTAGTTGTGATTAGTAAGTGTTAGGGACCACCCCAGATCCTAGTTACGGCAATGACATAAGCATAAGCAATTATTTCACGTCTAAGTCGCGAGTTTTCGGAACGTTGCACGTTAGATAAAGTCGAGATCTTTTGCATTAATAGTGAGTTGAACGTGATTGAAGGACTAACTGGTGGACCGTAGAAAATGCAGAGATATCGTCCTGTAGATTCCCATAGACTCGACACCATAGTACACAGAGTCCCAGTAAATTAAAAATGAACAAGAATGGAAGGATAACGTTCGAAGGAGGAACAGAGTACAATGGCGAATCATATCATTAAGCCTTAATCCGTCGAGTGTGCTGTCCAAACTCTGCTAATTAAAAAGAGGGAAGAACGCGAGAACCATAGGGGATCAAGATTGATCGCGATCGAACGTCTCGAGGACTCGAGGGCGTTTCGATCTTCGCTGCTCAACAAACAGTCGTTTTTTGAAGGGTTGAACGAGAGTCTGGCCGATCGAATCGAATCGATTATGCAATACTGCTGTTCCGCGTGTGTGCGAGTTTGTTTCCTGCGTGTTGCGTGCGTGTCCATTTTGGGGAACAAACGAATGAGAGAAGAAACGTTTTTTCGTAGAAAGATTTTCTAGTTAAATGCGTGTTTCGTGGTAGGCGCTTTTTTATCGGAGAAGCCGATCGATTTTGTTTTTTTTTTACGAAAGATGTAAATTCGACTGTAAGGCGGCTGTAAATAAGAGACGAATGGTTAACGAAAAAATGGAAAGAAAGTGGATCCTCTCGGTGTTTTAGAGCTAGTTGTGTCGACATGTTTCTTCCTATATTATATATATAATATATATACACATATATATACAAATATAAATATATTTATTATTGCGTTGTTCTATTATATAATATTTATTGTATTATCAGATATAGGATTTACGCGCGACACGTTACGTTTATTGATCGGGGCTCGTGTCGAGATCTCCGTTCGACTGTTCTCCTCTTTCACTTTCTTCTGTCTAATAATACTGTTTCCCTAGCTGTCCGTTCGAGAGACGTTAAAAATAGAAACTTTCAATTTCCGTTCGATTTCCCGCGGTATCGCGCCCTTTACGGATTTTACTGGACAACGATCTCGGCACGGGTTTTAACCGAAATTGAAAGCAAAGCGAAGCGATACACGATTAGAGGGTAAGTCCACGATTGCTCGCGATTCGATAACGGGAATCGAAAGCAAAAGGTGAACGGAGAAAGATACCCTTTCTATGTCACATCTCTAAACTGTACTTTTTCTATGTCCGCATACTCTAGTTCCTATGCAATGTTTGTACTCTTATACCCTTTGTACTATTTGTACCTTACGAATTGCAATACACTCGTCCGCAATAATAAACGGTTTTCCTTCATTACCATTGCAACGAATAAAAATTTAACCACATTTCATTTTAACGCTTCTTCATACCTAAAGAATCTAGGACGACAACTTCTAAAAAAATATCTACCTCTATTATAACCTGTACGATAATTCCTGTGTGTTAAAATTTACCGTATTGAACGCAAATAAAACGGTACGAGGCATCGACCTAAATATCTCGCATTCCGGTTCACGATAGTTGAGGCAGGCTCCACGGTCATGCAGCCGAAATTAAATGGAGAGGAAAGGAAATTTAAGTATAAGCGAAACAAAGAATCTATTTTCTGTAGCAGAATGAAGAAGATACGAAAATAATCGTGACACGTGTTGCGTCACGTGTAGGTTTTCAATAATTCCTTGCTAATCACGCTCGTGTTAAAATCGTCGAGGCCAGAAGACTTGTTAACATGCATCCTTCATGAACTGGCTGTAACTGGCTGTTACGTGTATAGTAAATCATCTTAATTGTTTGATCAATGTTTGCCAAAAGACTCGTAAATAAATTAGCAGTATTGCTAGAAAGTAATTGCAGTTACGATCGTAAAGCATATAAATTATTTAGAGTATAACATAATGATGAAATCTTTATGAAGTAACTGAGTGTAACCGTATCAGCATATAATACATAATCAAAAGTTAAAATTAATTTATTTTTGCATCTTGAAAATACCAAATATTTTAAGCACCTTCTGCAATTTAAAACGTAGCTGCTAACCGGTTATTTGACCGGGGTTAACGGTGTGCAACAAATGCAAGAGGCGGTTGAAGTACTGAATGAAATCAGGAAATCGATTCGCACATCCACGCGTTTTGATCGAGCAGTGAGAGGAGGATAAGAGAGCGTCGCAACGAAAGAGCGTGCGAACAGAATGACCCTTTACACGAACGTAATAATGTTCACTCGCAGGTGGATCGACGTGGGTGTGTATCTTGCTCTCTTCGCTCGTTCGCCTCTTCTACCTCTTTTACCTCTTGCACTTTTCTTTCCCTACCTCTCGAGGTAAATTCGGATAAAATCACTTCCTCCTTTCTGTTACCTTGTTAAAATTCCATTGTCAAGATTATTAATAGACTTTCAATTATAGGAATTTTAGTTATCGTCAAGCGTTATGGCCACGCGTTATATCGCCACGTGTTGATATCACCGACCCATGTGATCTATGTGTTATTGTAGCCATAGGTCACGTGCTCTATCGTCACGCGTATAACCGCATTCTATCGCCACACGTTGTATCGCCACTCGTGGATTTATTACGCGTTCTGCCACGCATGGATTTACTGTGCGTTCTACAGCCACTGGATTTACGCGTTGTACTGCCATGCGTGGATTTACTATCGCCACTGATGGATTTATTATATGCTTCTCTACAGAAGCCATATTGTAGAATCCCGACGTGTCGTATCTATTTGTAGAACGTATCTTAACGCGTGGGAGCTTATATCTTGACGCGTAGAATTCCAACGTGTCGTATCTACATGTAGGATCCCAACGCGTCATAACATCTACGCGTAAAATCCCCATGTGTTATATACCCCCATGTGTATAACGTACTGAATCGCCATGTGTATAACTATACATAGAATCTCTATGTGTAATACCGCCACGCATCACATCGCCAAGCGTGGAATTACAATGCGTAAAATCATCAACCACCCACAGAGAAAACTAGAAGCATAACAAAGAACCCTAAAATTTAAAATAAAGTAAATATACTTGTTATAAATAAATTTTTAATGTAAATGAAAATTATATCTCAAGATATGGATTTGATAAGGGTGATCGAATTCAGCTAGTTCGAGGTAAACATTCAGGTGGTTGATCGCTCGTAAGAGCGCCCCCGTAATTAAGGGCTAAACTCAACCCTCGTGGGCGTTGTCAGGCACCCACCGTTCACGGACGAGGGTGTACTTTAGTCGTCAAACTCGCTGGTAATACGCTCTCGTATCCATCGTTACAGGGACCTCGCTTAAAATCGTAATGGAAAAAATCAATAACCGCGAAGGAATATCTGTCGAACGAAAACCGTTCAATACGAAACGAATCGTCGTAGGGGAACGAGTCCTCGTTTCTTCGCAACCCTTGTTTCAATCGTTATTTATTCATAATAAGAGGGTGCTTTGTACTGCCTCTGTAAATGAACAAATATACTCTGTAGCGATAGCAAACTATTGAATAAAACTGATTCGGAGCTGGTGTTTTATTTCAAATTCGTTTCTAGTTAAAGTAATACTACTTTGTAACGTGTGCTTTGTAACAACACATATGTTAGACTGCTTAAATTAATAATCGATGCTGCTTGAATATTATTCGGTAAATAAATTGTAGCCATTTGCGGTAGCCACGTATAGTCAAACACAGGAAAAAATAATAGACAGTTTATACAGCTTATATTGTGACAATAAAAAAAATTGTGGAGATCATGGAAGTCGTTCCAAGGTCATGGTTCCACAATAATTCAGATGTCCGAAGTGGACACCCTATGTAAGGGGAATTCGGATGTTTGAAAGTGGACCACCCTGTATAAATGAAACAAACGAGTAATAAAAATGAAACAATTAAAATTGATGAATGTACGGCGTAGTCGAAGGGGGTTAAGCCGTCTGTAGGGGTGCTCGAGCTGCACCCTCGAGCAATTTCATCGCGGAAGATAAAGAGGTGTCTCGTTGATCCACCGTAAGAATCTCCCTCGATCCATCAAGAAACCGAGGAAGAGTTAGTCTCTTTTCTGGCTCGTCTGCATCACAAAAGCATCAGCCCCGATTCGAGCCGATACACAGAGAAGGCTCGACACATCGTGCAACATCGTCGGGGACAGGCGAGCGTCACGGAGTGGAAAAGCGTATCGCGGGGGTTAAGGTATTGATCGTTGGCTTCCCCATCGTGCATGGGGGTGGCTTCGCGCGCGGCGAACCCCATAAGCGTTGCGTCGCCATTACAGCGGCATGGATCGCACGGGAACGGAGCGGCGACGTTAAAAGCGGCCGAACTTCTCGAGTCACGGACCGTAAAGGGAGGCTGAAGGGACGCGTTCTCCTTTTGAAGGGAAAAAGACGATCGGAGGAGTGCGACGGAGGCGGTCAGCGACCGTGAGGTCGTGCAGAAAGGGACGCCACGGTCGACCGACGGAGAGACGAAGAGCTAACGATAAGCGGCGGACGGAAAGAGAGACGACGATATCGAGTCGCGTGTACGAACGGAAAGCTCTGTGTGCAAGCTGTCGTGCAGAGCGCAAGCTCCGTACACCTTGTTTACATTCGTCGAACGCCGCAGAGGAAGCACGTTGCTCCTGAGGAAAATAATCGACGAGCGCGAGAATCGTAGTGTCCTGACGGTCGACGATTCGAGGCGATTTCGAACGACTACCACTTCGGAGGGATCATTCCCCAGGGTTTTACGGTGGACTTTCGGCCGGGACCGGCGGTCCACGGATTCGACCCATGGCGTTCTATGGAAGTAAGTGCTCCTTCAATGCCATTTCGATCACTTGTAAATATGGTTGACCCTCGAACGGAGGTTAGGAACGCTATCACCATTTTCGAATATTAACTACTCCTTGATAGCAAAATTTCTTTTGTATATTGTTATTACTGTTCTATTGTGATCGAATAATTTTACGTAACTTATGCGATATATCGGTGAACCTTAAAATATAGGCAGAAAATAATATTTCAATTTGACGGTATTTACATACACATGTGCATAATTATTTAAATTGACTTGAATTTTCTTATTTTTTTTTCGAACAATCTTAAGTCGTTTGACATCAATTACCTCACCTAACATTGTATGTTAAAACCAATGTCTAATACAGGAAGTCGTTCAAATATTTATGCACAATACGCATGCAATTTATGCATGGGTACATCTATTCATTAAATAGAAGTGGATCATTATAATAACAAAAGCATGGTAAACGACCATACTCAAATTAAGCAAGAGAAAGATTCATAATTGGATCCTTGTTCGAGAGTCAGCTATATTAACAAGATTTTTTATGAATAATATCGATAACCTTAATTGTTTATTAATACAAGTTGATCTGATTATATAAACAATTTCATTACTTAATTTTACATGAAGTAGTCAAGCATTTATAAAAATTAACAAATGAATTTTGTTAATATATGCAAGGGTTTCTGATCAGAGGCTTAATTATAGTTGAAAAGATATATGAGAAGAGGATTTCTATCGAAAAGAATTAAGGTTCAGTGTATATTTCTATATTTCCTTCATATTTTGGACAAGAACTCGCATTGCGAAGTACTCACTGTTTCCTAAGCGAACATCAAAGAAATCCATCCCTCAAAAGCATGCTCCGGCGACGTTCGAGATTAAAGCCATCAAAAGCGACGGATTTCTGACAAATTTTCAGACTGACAAATTCTTGTATAATCCTGTGTTTCGAGATGAATCAGACACCTATAGCTCGCCATGAAAGGGAGTATCGATTTACACGAGGGATCACGTGTTGATTCTTAAAATCTGTTGACGAAAGAATTAGTCACATTTTTAATTATAATTATTCTTAAAATCTGCTGACGAAAGAATTAGTCACATTTTTAATTACAATTTCGTGATCAAAAGGTGTAGCGACCGCAGGTGATTCGATAGTTTCCGCAAGCACGAAAATTTGAAATCGGAAATTAATTGAGGCTCTGTGGAATTCGATAGTTTCCAAAATTCCACATTGAGGAATTCGATAATTTCTAAAAGTCGGGGTAGATAATTTTCATTAGTCGACGTTTGAGAATTCGATAATTTCCTGGAAATTGATCATTTTTATTCCACGCTGGGGACTTTGATAATTTTCAAAAGTCGACGCTGAGGAATTCGGTAATTTCCAAATTTCCACTCTGAGGACTTCGATAATTTCCAGAAATTAAACGCTGAGGAATTCGATAATTTCCAAAATTCAACGCTGAGGAATTCGGTAATTTCCAAAACTCGACGCTGAGGAATTCGGTAATTTCCAAA